CCGGAGATATTCAAGGGATCGAGGTGCCCGGAACACACGGTGAGCGACACACCTTTTTTGCGTTTGTCGATGACTCCACTGTGTTTCTCCAAGAAGCGAGCAGTCTTCCACGCGTTCTTGACATTGTCGCAGCTTTCGGACGTTCATCGGGGCTCACTGTGCAGCCTACAAAAAATCAGGTCATCTTTTTGAATACATCGGTGGCTTTGCCTGACTATGAGGGGATACCTGTGTTGCCCCATGGGACAACACAGGTATCTCGGCCATCAAGTGGGTACAGGGGTACTTTGCGATGCGAATTGGGCTATACGAATTCGGAACGTACGTCGTCGACTTGCGACGGCAACTCGGGTGGCGACTAGTGTTTCTCTCCGTGTGCTCATCCTAAACGTCGTAATGCTCCCAGGCATACTCTTTACTTCAGCGGCCTTTGATATGCCTCAATGGGCGGAGGATCGAGCTCCGCAATCTTCACAAACATGTTTTGTGGAAACATGCTACTTCAACGGAGCGCAGTCGCCACAAAGTTAACCCGGGCATTTTGTACGCACCGCGAGCGGCAGGTGGTGTCGGCTTGGTATCGATAGCAGTGGCTGTGCAAACGCAACGGATGAAACACGCTCTTCTCTGGCTCACCCAGAGGCGAGACCGGTACGTCGCGGCGTGGAAATTTTCGACGTTTTGGGATGCTCGGTGTGACGCCTCTTTCGTGATCACACCACCCAACCCTCTTCATTCTCGCAGTCAAGAGAGCAAGATACATGGTGATAGGTTGCGGGCAGATATATGTGCTTGGCTTCGACCGTCGGATCTGGAGCATGCAGCCATACAAAGTCGGCATCGTCAACATACGCAAAGGCTCATCTCACAGGTCACGTGCTGGCCGGACGGTGGCCGGCTGACATTTTGGTTATCGGAGCCGCTTCCTGCAATTACCTGGGAGATAACGGCCGTGACCTGCCGGTATTGGCCAACGTATTCGTGGGCGGACAACCCATGGCTCTGCGATGGTACCGGTCGTCAATTGTTGAGGACGAAATACGACCGCATCCGGCCGTGCTCACTGGAAGAACTTGCGTTTGAGCGTAGCGGTCCAACGACATATGTTTGTCACGTCCCGTTGGCTGAGGAAGCGGCCAAGCACCACACGGACCGCAAACTTGGGCGCTGGGCTTTGGCAATTCTGATGGGTAGTCTTTCGTTGGCTATAGGCCGGACATTCGAGGTTCTACCCACTGTGACTCTTCGACACCCCCCCGAAACTCCGGCTATCGTACGACTGGGTGCTGGACGGGCCTGGAGCAGTCCGAGGGGTGGCACGTACGCCGCCGGGTATGTTCTCACGGGGTATCATGCTCCAGCAGGAGGCCGACGGAATTTAATTGGACAGTCGACGACTCCGCTATACCTCCGGAGTATGTCCACGATGTGGTCGTCCTCCGGAGCTCGCAAAAGTCTCTCGGTCTGGTCTTAGAAGCTCATCCTTTGACCCACAGCTTTCCGTGGGATGTCCCACCGAACGTGGCGAATCGGCACGTATTGCGATACCTCAAGCGCCAGCCGTATTGCAATGCGAAGACGGGGCTTGGCAAGGCATTATAAGGTATACTCCAAAAGTTACAAACCTGTGCAGCTCGGGGGGGGGGGGGCTGGCACTCGGCAGTTCTTCATCAAACACCGAAGCAGGTGTGGGGCCACAAAAATGCGATAACGGAGTATCAAGTGTAAGTCTATGACCGTCTGGAACTTCACCAGCTCAATAATTTCTTCCCGGGCAGGGAACTCGACAACAGTTGCCGACGGCTGACCATCTGTGCCGGTCACAAAGAGACACTGGAGCACATTTTCTGGACTTGTCCAGAGGCCCAGGGATGCTGGCAGGCGATCCTGTTCGCGTGGTATGGGTCCGATGTGCGGCTGAATGACGTATGTCAGTATGCGGGGAACTGCTTAGCACGAAAGCCGCCGCCTATGTCTAGGACATTGTTACAACGGCTGCAGAGGGCTTTTGGCGATAATGTGAGAAATATATTGCTCAGTGGAAGCGCATCTGGTGGATCCTATGTTCCGTCTGTATCTCGACTCTTTGGATACAGCGCAAATAAGTTGTTCACGAGCAGCAACAACTCTCACTCCTGGGCAGTTTCCTAGAGTTTTCCTCTAACGGACTTCGGCAATTACGAGCGCTATCGGCACGAGAACGCCGAACGCAACACTCCAGGGTGCAAGGCATCCGGCTGAGGCATTGCATTGAGTTGCTCGATGGTACCACTGCGCCTGCAAGAGCATAACATCATGTGGTGAGTCACGTTTAATCACCGGGCAATTCGACACCGGCGTTGCTAATCTGGCTTAGGACATTCCAGAGGTCTTGTTCACATTAATACCGTGTAATAGACTGTCTGTTCCTCTCTCACTTCTCCAAGTCCACTTTCGGGTACGAGTGTGCCACTGTTCGGCACACCAATATCAACCTGTACCTTTTCAAACCGTTGTTAAAGCTTACGTGAATGTCGTCACCTCCCACACGACCAAGCTTCGAGGTGCTGCGTCAAAGCCACTCAAGCGCAGATAGTATGGGCCGAAGCTGTTTGTTTTGAAATGCTGTCTTGAAGTTGAACGAAACAACTTCCACGTGAGGTCGCGGTATGCACAGACTTCACGCACAAGAACCAGATGGAAAGAGCGTAAGAGAGTGAGTGATAAAGTGAGGTATATTTAGGTACGCTTACGACCTACTATGTCCCGTCACCCGGCAACAAGGTTACCGGGTTGAATGCTACTTTATATAATAGGTGGTACTAGGTCTCGAACATCAGAACGTCTGCGCGCAGACTCGTGTCGCGAGATGATCAGGTTCCTCGGTGTCAGTACGGGGCCCTGTATTACGTGTTGTTCGGCCTGAGAGGTCTCCAACCAATAATTGACATCAAAATCAAGGAAGGTCGTGGCCTCCTGGACTAGAACGGGGTTCGAAGAAGCGTGCGCTTGAACCGAAGCTCCTGTGTCCATAGCGACATTTGCCAGTCGATCCACTATTTTGTTGTAGGGGCGATAATGATGTCCCCATCTAGAGACATGGATATCGTTAGCGATGGCGCTTGCCTCGGTGAATAACTGCACCAAGTGTTGCTTGCGTGCAGGGTGCCGTATTCGGATTTGTGCAATCACAATTGCACTGTCCCCAGTGACATGCAGGAGTTAGTAGTCGTTGGTCTTTGCTTGCTAGGGACCGTGGACAAGACCCCAGTATTCAGCGGTATTGGTAGTGGTATCGGTAGAGCCATAGGCCACGCTCGCTACCCACAAAACGCATGCGGCGTGCGTCGGAACGTGGAGTCGGACAATAACAGATCCAGCTCCGCCTGGACCTGGATTTCCGCGGGATCCTCCATCGAAAAAGAGGAAGTAGAGCACTCCTGGGCACCGTTCGATAGGGCGTACGTGCAGCAAAGGAGGTTCGTCGTAGCAGAGGAGGGTATCAGCCAAGGCCGACCGTACCTGCACAAACAGTTGCCCATCCTCCCCATGTCGGGCTGGTAGGTTGATCCACGAAACCTTCGAACCGACTGGCTTAAGATAGTCTTGGCCCTAGGTGTGTAAAATCCTGTGATAGAGATGGGCCTGTCATGCGGCGGAGGCGCTCGACCCAGACGGTATGAATTATCGTTGATACGGCAAAGCGCCACAGCTCTCAAGCTGCCGGAAAGACCCTAGCCTGAGCTTTTCATGATTCTGCCCGTGTGGTCATAGATGGCTTGACAACAACCCATGCGTTGGGCAGAATCCCTTATATGTCCAGTCCAAACACCCAGACATGCAAGTCATCCTCCTGGAAAGTACCAAGCCATCGCCTCCGATCAAGGAGGCAGTTCCAGTGTCGACGCGCGCTAGGGCATGTTCAAAAGATATGTCTTGCCAGAGCTGGACCAGCATCCACACACTCAGGGGATGGGGCACGACAGATCTTGCTTAGCCCAATTCCAGAGCGAGAAACTGTTTCTCTTTAGACGATATATCGTCTGAGCGTTGGTCGGAAAGGACGCACAAATTCGTCGAAAATCTTCAGACGTGATCAATGGTGAACCTTTTGATATCGCGTGAAAGTCCGCCTTTGGAACCCGTTCCTCAAGAAGTCTAGTTCCTTCAATACAGCGCTGCCGGGAGATAGGCTATTTAAGTTTCTTTCCATGTGGCCGCCACCGTCGACGACCGGCCCACAGGTGGACAACCCGCGTGAGCATCGGATGCGCGCCAAAGTGGACAGGAATCCCACTGGATGAGGGAGCGGCAATATCGCACGCCGTCATCGACGAGACGGGTTGCAACCCACATTACATACCCGTTTCAAAATGCTGTAGAGATGTACCTTCAAGAGTTAGAAGCCAGTCATGAAATTCGTGCACCTTCGATGAATACGACATTAGGAACCCAGGTTCCAGCTCCCGATAGACCAAAGACGGCAAATTGTAAAGAAGTGCAAGGCAGAAGGACCGGAAATGCCTTTTCTTCACCATAGACTGGGTCGCCATGTCACGCGTGGGAGAGAACAAGACAATGCCAGTCTGCAAAGTCGTCCAAGACATTTCCTCGCCAAGATAAGTCAAACAAAGGACAAAGGCGGCTCCGTTCAATGTGTAAGCCGTACCCCGTCGATCTCGCAGTCACGGCGTATTCGTGAGCGTGGCGTGGACAAGCCATCGGTGATCAAATCGCCCCGACGCCGCACCTTCAGCACGCATCCCTGCGCGCAGTCGATCATCAAGCACCCGCCGAACATCAACGGTGACACTACCTTCGTGATAGAAAAAGCGTTAATAATGTAGACGTGTTGAAATTACTTAAGGCAGAGTACATATAAGTAGAAACGTGCAGCAAACATTGACGCACTTTCAACTCGTGTCTGTCGCATCGCACTGCTCGAGCAAAGGAGCCGACGCAGCAACCACGTGGGGCAGTCGGTACACTGCAAAAGGTACTGCAGCCACTATCCCAGCCACTTAAAAGCCCTTGGAAACCATGATCAACTGGTTCAGCTTGTAGCTCGTGCCCGGCTCGAGCACTTGCTGCTCAATCACTTTGCCCGGCTCGATCGCAATCATGTACAGGTACTCGTCGTCCTTAAAGTCCGTCATGTTGGCCGCGCGTTCGATCCAGGGGTTACAAATGACGCCGTCCGTTGGCGTGTAGATTGATTTCTGTCCTTCCCGCTACACGGAGCCCGTCTTCCGGACCGTCACGAGCTGGTCAAAGCTTCCGCCCGGGATATGGGCAGTGATGTCGCTCTGGACGTTCTTGTATATGCTGTCGACCATCAAAGAGATGCCAAAGCTCTCGCGCGTCTCCGTGTGGTTCGTTTTGGTCATCTTGTCAAAGTAGTCGACGCCTTGTAAGCCCGAGATTTGCAAGCCATCTTTCACGATGTTGTTGACGTGGATGTAGTTGTGGGAGAGGGATTGAAACTCAATGGCAATGGGGTTCAAGTTGTGCACGGTCAGCGTCATCTCGAGCCACGTGATCCAGAGCTTGACTTTGTACTCGAGCACAAAGTCAAAAGGCCACATCTTACGCGTGACGTCGTTCGCCTCATGTCGGAACGTCCAAACGCTTACCTTGCGAAAATCCGTTGCCAATTGGACGCTCATCTACCAGCCAGACATGGGGAGGATGGGCAACTGTTTGTGCAGGTACGGTCGGCCTTGGCTGATACCCTCCTCTGCTACGACGAACCTCCTTTGCTGCACGTACGCCCTATCGAACGGTGCCCAGGAGTGCTCTACTTCCTCTTTTTCGATGGAGGATCCCGCGGAAATCCAGGTCCAGGCGGAGCTGGATCTGTTATTGTCCGACTCCACGTTCCGACGCACGCCGCATGCGTTTTGTGGGTAGCGAGCGTGGCCTATGGCTCTACCGATACCACTACCAATACCGCTGAATACTGGGGTCTTGTCCACGGTCCCTAGCAAGCAAAGACCAACGACTACTAACTCCTGCATGTCACTGGGGACAGTGCAATTGTGATTGCACAAATCCGAATACGGCACCCTGCACGCAAGCAACACTTGGTGCAGTTATTCACCGAGGCAAGCGCCATCGCTAACGATATCCATGTCTCTAGATGGGGACATCATTATCGCCCCTACAACAAAATAGTGGATCGACTGGCAAATGTCGCTATGGACACAGGAGCTTCGGTTCAAGCGCACGCTTCTTCGAACCCCGTTCTAGTCCAGGAGGCCACGACCTTCCTTGATTTTGATGTCAATTATTGGTTGGAGACCTCTCAGGCCGAACAACACGTAATACAGGGCCCCGTACTGACACCGAGGAACCTGATCATCTCGCGACACGAGTCTGCGCGCAGACGTTCTGATGTTCGAGACCTAGTACCACCTATTATATAAAGTAGCATTCAACCCGGTAACCTTGTTGCCGGGTGACGGGACATAGTAGGTCGTAAGCGTACCTAAATATACCTCACTCTCTCACGCACTCACTTGGACGCTCACGATGGTCTTCATGGATATTCGGGACACGCCGTGAAAAGGGGCGCCAAACCTTACGGCGCTGGCAAAGCTGAGAAACACCACTGGATTTCCGCCGCGAATGGGCTTCACGCTGTCCATGTTCGAATTCGTGGACATAAACAGCACGTCGCGAAGATGGTCGTACGTCGTGCGAAACGAGATCACGTGCGCCAAAGAGCATGATTTGTGCACTCGAGTTGAACGGGCGCGTGAGGGAGACGGTCTCGAGCCCCTTTAACCCTAGGTGGTTCCTGACGGCGTTCTGCTAGCCCTTTTATGAACACAGCAATCAACATGTTTTCATGAGATGAATCAGAGGTTATATTACCCGCGAGGATCTGCATGTGCTGATTGTATGCGAGCACATCACGCGTACCGTGCTTGAGTGTCAGGATCTTTGACCGAACCCTGAACTCAGCTTGTGGTGGCTCAAACGTCCGTTTGAGCCAGAACTTATATACTTTGAGAGACTGAAACACATATGGATCGCGCATCATGAGCTATAAGGCCCAAGGCTTGGCACGTCCTTCCAAGTGGGCTTGAGCAAATGTGAGTTTCATTTGCTCATCGTCGATACTATGTGCCTTTATGGATCTGTCTGGCTCGACAAACTATATCTACAGGGTGTCTTCCTCGACTTCTCTGTACTTGGAGATATTAATCTTCAAGATTTCGGGACGACTCGTGTGTGTCGTCCCGCTTACACCATCATTGAATTGCTGCTGTCTTAATAGCTCTATCTGTTGAGCATCGAGTTCTCTCAACTGCTCGGCCTGTTGGTATCCTTGTTGGTCAAGCAAGGCTAACGTTTTACACTTTACAACAAGTTCATTTTGAATGAACCTGGCTACAGCGGCATGTTCTCGGTTTCTGTCAAGAAACTCCAACATGCCGCTAATAAAGGTTCCGCCTACGGTAGAACTCATACGTCATACCGCACTCCATTTGATGTCACTCAAATTTTTAAAGCCTACACGAGGGACGTGAAATCTTTCCTCTTCATCGAACATCTTCATGTTAAATGAGGTGGTTGTGGTCAATGGGCGTCCTACAAAGTGCTTCCAGGTGTAACGGGGATTGCTCTTGCAAGATTATTGGCATGTAGTTGTGTTGACTGACCACAAGGTTGCGTGCTCCTGATGTCTCATACGTGGCGAGGAAGCGCGACCAAGACAATACAGAACCCGAAAGCTTTGATAAAGTAAAAAAGTAAGACTGCGTTGTAATAGTTAAGATTGTTCAATAAACCATCTTTGTCTTGATTTAACTACATTAAACTACACCCTCCTATGTGGGTTTCTTGTTTACCACCTATTGCGCGCGTCCAGCAGCGATTGGTGGTTAATTTAATTGATGTACACGGTACATGAACCAATAAGTGGAACACCTAAGAATATTACCCTCGGGGTAATATTCCGTCAACATCACCTCTTCTCGGGTAATGTTAATTAAACATTATCAAAATAGATATTATTCGAAAATCGATACATTCGTACCACTTTTATGGTAACAGGCTTACAATATTACACCGGAGCTATAGGTCAGGTTTGTTGCTTACATAATTGAAATTGGGTTTTACATTTAAGAAACCTTCAACAGCGGCTGATTACAGCTTCCAGGGTCGTGATCAATATGGATAATAGATTATTCATTTGAACTCTATCCTTCTATTATCCATCACATTTGAAGGCAGCGGAATTTGACATCATAGAATGAGCGCAGTAGGCTGCTTAAACTTTCTACAAACTACTTTTGTGGGCCCCTGCCACGTCGACAGAAATAAGCATACACAAGAATAAATCAGGATTGTTCTTCACTCCTAAACGATCTGGTGGTGTTGGGCTGGATTCATTATACGAGTCCATCAAAATTATGCGCTCAAAACACGCACTTTAGTGGATCACGCAAGCCCAGGACAAATATTTTTCCTATGGTATTGCTTGGCCGATCAAGGTAGGCCAACACCCTCAGCATTGGTCCTGAAGGGATGAAGGTTGATGGGGACAGCATCTCCTTTTTGACGAATCCGTCAACAGCTGCATGAATAGATGACTTCGACAAGATAATGCAACCTACGACGGAGCAGCTAAATTTACTTTGGGATCGCATTGGCTTGCACTTTTCGACTTAACTAGAAAGGGCTGGTAGATAATGATTAGTCGATGTAGGAACGTTGTCTAACCATCTTCCTTTTCCGGAAGCATTATGATTTGCCGGCTCCTAAGTAATGGCACTGCGTTGCTTTTGGGGGAAGTTTGGATGGAATAACAACTTTATGATTCGAGACGAATAGTGTAACGGAGTTGCACCACATTTGTGTATTACACAACATGTGTGAGTTACGTAACATGAGTGATTTACAATGGGGACGGAGTCCTAAAAAGATGATATTAGAGCACAATATATATTGTCGAGGGCTGACGCGTGTTAGCCACTGAATTACAAGATTACTTTAAATGTATTAATGAGAACATTAGTATTTAGATTACGTACGGTCGTCAAGGTGTTCTTTTTGATAATAGAAAATAAAGTTTCAATTTCCTTCTAATTACTTATGACACGTGCCTCACAAGGCGCTTTTGATCGTAAAGAGCTTAGCAATACCTGCAAAAATAGCTATCTTGAGATATCTGTGATGTGATTTCCTTACTTTGTTGGTCATTTAAAACAGGGACGGTACGCATCGAGTTTGTTGACTCTCTGAGTCGGGTTCTTTGACCAAAGTTGCTCGTAGAGCGTTTGGTCTTCCTCGAATTGAAAGGGCTGTTTAGCTGCGCTATACTTGATAGCGCTTGAAATCAATCGACACCTGAGTCGTTACGACTGGCTTCTTTTATAATGGAGCGATACACACAATCACTGAGGCCTAAAATCTCGCGCTTGATAAGCTGACCGCGGCCGAGGGCCAAACAAATTGTAGCGTTTTTATCCGAGCAAGGTCCTGATGTGCTAAATGCACGTGTCGGGACGATTATGCAGTATGTACGGCCATTCTAGGTCAGATTTAAAACCAAGTAGCGTCAGCCATGCCAACACGATTTGTAGCAATGCCTGACGAAGAGGCTAACCTCTGTCTTATTAGGGTCGACGTCTAACATTTCTTCGGGAAGGAGGGGGATAATTCCACCCTCTCGATCCGTGAGATTAATTTGCTTACAGGATCTGGAGTAATCTCACTTAAGTAGCAAAGAGTCTCGCTGGCCATCTCTAAGATAGATGGGGTAGTCATATCGTGGGCGCTGACGTTCAACACGCCTGTCGACTTGGTGTTTCCTAGATGGGATCGCTCAAGTTAGACCTTTCGCGGGTTAAATCGCCCACGACCAGACTTATCGCATCCGCACGTGGTTATAATCTACCCATCCGGGATAGAATGAATTAACAAACTATGACCAAAAGTTTAGATATCAAATGGCTGCTATGTAAACAGCACATCTCCAAGAAACGGTCTACGATGACTTTCTTTATGGAAATTCTATGCTCTGGTGTGGTTATAACCGAGGTCTTTCGAGTCCATCCGTCTAATTCGAAGAGGCTATGGACATCGCTCAGTATGCTAAGCTCAACTGTAGGTCTCCCAGGCTTGATTAAAACGGGTACAATACAAGATTTGCGAGGGCAACCTCAGAATTTAGCTCGGCTTACTGTAAGCCTGAATTGATAATCTCGACAATACTAAAGATGAAGGTGTAGCTGAATTTCAAATTGTAGAGGAAAACAAGAACGTATAACGTTGGTATACGTGCGGAAGCACTAAACAGTTGAGCCCCACTTGTCTTATGCGTACAAAACGACAAAATCCTACGAGTCAAATCCTGGCCCTAACTAGAAATTTTGAATGGCATGGGGAGTCAGTCGACACACAGTAGGTGCAGAGCGCCCTACTAGGGGAATCTAGATTCTGTCACTTCTTTACGAGGTTGAGCTACGCAAAGATTTGCGCCTAAGAGCTATGTGCCAGACAGCACAGAGCGTGAATACAAGACTGGACTGCTAGTCGCCGATGAGACTGTTAAAGGCTTAATAAATGGTTAATA